AGAACCGTACGGTATGTTTCTACAGGCACTTCACATACTCTAAAGAGTACATCGTTGCCCGGGGAAACTTGTCTATATGCTACGCACAACCACCATGCAAGTACACCAACAAACAGTCTCGGCTACATCCACACCCAAGCCGGTAACATCCAGCAAGACACGTCAAGCAACCCACCTGATCGGCATTATAGCCAACCACGTCCGTTCGGGCAATGCTATCCGAGCTGTGTGACGATCTCATGAGCTTTCTTGTGGCCGACTGCATGGCAGTGAGTGGTGACCGATTCCCTTTGGCGTATGAGGGGACGTAACTGGAAGTGTTGCGAGTTTTGTCGTGCGCTGTGCTGCTAGTGGTCTTCTGCACGGATCTGTGTCGCTTGGACTTTGTGGAGGCCTTGACCTTAGGGAGGGACTTACTTTTGGATCGGTTTATGGTATCTGGCGACTGGAAATCAGCACCCAGCGGCACGTCCTGATTGGGGTGGCAGAGGTTCACACGTGCAAAGATTAGGAACGGGTTTGAAGCCAAAATACGGTGATATAGTGACTATCACAGCTCGATGCGCTGCCTTTGTCATGTCCAGATACGCGACTGAATATATTGGTAAAGATATTCGGATGATCGAAGCGATTGAGATCAACGGATACCAGGATGAAGTCGTATTTTGGGTTCAACGCCTGTAACGGCAGGTCCGATAAGACATCCACCTTACAACGCAGACCGATGTATAACATCCACCTGTGGCAGGTCTGAATCCCGGACCCCAGACCCTAAATAGCAACCTTAACCCCAAATTCTAAATCCTGAAATTTAATTTCGAACCCTCCAAAACCTCTAAATCCCAAAGTTCAAATGCACTTGTGAGTAGTCGGATGTGCTACTGGAAAAGCTCTTAAAACCTCTGAATCCCAGAAATTTCAAAACTATTAACCTTTAAATCCCAAAGCATAAACGCACCCGTGAGTAGTCAGATGTGTTACTGGGCAAGCTCTTAAAACCTTTAAATCCATGAAATTCCAAAATTGTTAAACTTCTAAATCCTAAATCCTAAACACACCTGTGAGTAGTCGGATGTGTTTCTGGACATGCTTTTTAAACCTCTAAATCCATGAAATTCCAAAACTCGTATAACCTCTAAATACCAAAGCCTAAACGCATATGTAAGTAGTCGGATGTGTTACTGGGCATGCTCTTAAAACCTCTGAACCCCTTAAATTCCAAAACTCTTAAAACCTCTATATCCCGAAGCCTGAACGTACCTGTGAGTGGTCAGATGTGCCGCTGGATATGCTCTTCTGGTCGAATGTTTCAAGTTGTGCGGTACGGTGATGTGACAATCGCTGGCGCGGAACAGTGGTTTCTTCCGACGATTCGCACAAACCTCCTGGGATGAGAACGAATACAAACCATGGGAATATGTATCAATAAAAAGGCTACAGCAATAACAATAGGTTCGCGCGAGCGAAACTGAGGTTACCTCTGGAGACTTACAGCTACCACCTGTATAAGAATGAATCCAATCCATGGAGACATGTCTAAATGGACACGCTAAAACGATGACAACAAAGTACGGATGATAGTTGGATGGGGGGAGTAAGCTGGGATGATTTGTAAACACATGAATGTCAAGGAGGTAACTATGACAGTCAGTCTACATGGTCACAGACGTTAACTTTATGTTCTAATTTTTAACGCCACTGGCAAGATTATGATATCTTTA